TAGCTCAATGGTTCAATACCAGACTGAAATGTGTGCTTTTTTTTTTTCCCCGAAGCGCTCCAAAACAAGCCGCTCTCTCAGCCTGACAGAACTATAAAGCGTGACATGAGGAAACTTCCACTTACCGGCATCCCAGAATCGCATTGGCCTTTTCTTTAAAGTGGAATGGATCAGGATTCACAGATGGAGACGCAGGGAAAAGCGTCCGCCTCATTTCAGCCCGCTTTACCACATTGTAAACTGTATTATGTTTTGATTAATTTCAAATGGCCCGTCTTGCTTCACTAGACTGTGAAATGCACTTTCATTTCTGTAATTTTTCAAATTCTATTATTCCAATCAGGATGAAGGGACGAGACGGGAGTGGCGAAAATACAAATGAGCAGCGCCGTCATGTTCACATGCATAATTAAGAAAGTGAAGTATTAATGCAGGGAAAGAGGCTCCAATTCATCATTTGCACGCTTAATTGCGTTGTTGGTACAGATGTCCGTAAGACATTTGTTCATTGGGATGTACTTATGCGAGTCTGGTGTGAAGAGAACAAATATACATTTTCACAAAATGAGGATTTCCATGCATTTCTTTGTGCTCGGCATGAGAATGATTGTGTTTGCTTGATTGATAAAGTGGCGATGTAGTGGCGCAGTGGGTAGTGCTGTTGCTAGTTCAAACCTCGGCTCAGATGGCGTTCCGGTGAGGAGTTTGCATGTTCTCCCTGCGTTTGCGTGCACTGAAAAAAAATATTCAAAGATGATTCCTTGAATTTATTTATTTTTTTTTTTTAAGTTAAGGGGTTGTAAACGATTTTATTTATGTTGAATTTAATTTAAAAAATTAAGTTGAACATTACTAAATTTAATTTGTTTGTTTAAATTCAACACAAATAAATAGTTTGCAACAATTTTGCAGACAACATTTTTGTCAGTGTGGGTTTCCTCCGGGTGCTCCGGTTTCCCCCACAGTCCAAAGACATGCGGTACAGGTGAACTGGGTAGGCCAGTGGTTCTCAAACTTTTTTTTATCAAGTACCACCTCAGGAACAATTTGTCTCTCCAAGTACCACCAAAATGAGCAGTATTGAAATACAGCAGCGTAGTAGGCCCAGTAAAGCAGCTACAACTCTGCACGGTTAAAAAAACATGGCAGATTACCTCAGAAATATAGGCTATATGTCATATATGGCATATTATATACATCATTTTTGGTAGATTTTGAATGTGTGTAGCATGTACATGACATATTTCATTCCTCCGCGTACCACTAGAAGGAAGCCTGCGTACCACTAGTGGTACACGTACCACAGTTTGAGAACCACTGGGGTAGGCTAAATTGTCCATAGTGTGTGTGTGTGTGTGTGTGTGTGTGTGTGTGTGTGTGTGTGTGTGTGTGTGTGTGTGTGTGTGGATGTTTCCCAGAGATGGGTTGCAGCTGAAAGGGCATCCACTGCGTAAAAACGTGCTGGATATGTTGGCGGTTCATTCCGCTGTAGCGACTGCGGATTAATAAATGGACTAAGACGACAAGAAAATGAATGAATGAATGAATGGTAGGGTTGTGTTTTAATGCTATTGCTTCCTTTGTCATTATTATATTGGAAGGTTATTGTTGTATGTACAGTAATGCATTTTCTAGAAGAGATAAGTGGACAATTGGTTGCAAAAATACTTGTGTACTTAATTGCATTAATAATTGTGCAATGCATCGATCACATTAGAGTTTGAGCTTGCAAAGTTCTACGGCGCTGAGAAAAGGGGCGGGATTAAACAAGATGATTAGACATTAGCTAGCGATAGGTCCATATTCGACATTTTGGTTCAGTGAGGGCATGTTTTGATCTTCGATTGCTCTCTCGCTGTTGCGTGATGCGATTTCACAGGTGAGAATTCGTCAAGCTTGATCTTTGCAACTGCAAAACTTGTCGCACACTTGCATTGCTGGTCTGTCGCATTTACATGCGTATAGGAGGAAGTCTATGGGGCAAAAAGGCCAGTGTGACTGCGGCTTCATTTCTGTAAATATTTCAAATTCTATTATTCCAATCAGAATGAAGGGACGAGATGGAAGAGGCAAAATACAAATGAGCGTCATGTTCACAAGCATAATTAAGAAAGCGAAATGTAAACACTGGAAAGAGGCTTCAGTTCATCATTTACACGCCTAATTATGTTGTGGATACAGATGTCCATAAAACAGTTCAGCCTATTCTCGATTGTTAACTGTAAATTGCTTCTATGACTCTGGTGTAATGAGGAAAAAAAATAAATATATATATATATATATATATATATATATATATATATATATATATATATATATATATATATATATATATATATATATATATATATATATATATATATATATATATATATATATATATATATATATATATATATATATATATATATATATATATATATATATATATATATATATATATATCTATATATATATATATATATATATATATATATATATCTATATATATATATATATACATATACATATATATATCTATATATATATATATATATATACCCATATCTATATCTATCTATATATATATATATACATATATATATATATATATATATA